TGGTGCAGAGCGCTGGTTTCATGGTTATGTTCTGAGTGTACAGTTGAGCATGTGGGGCAGAGTAAGATGAAACTGCCTCTTCCACGTGCGACATGCCGAGCGTTCATCGCTCTTGTTTACGACACCCACGGTCCAGTTGCTGTGGTTTCCTTCCTTTGCCGCACCTGTTTTCCTGCGGAGTGTTGCTGTCCCTGACAGGTAGCCAGCGGCTTTCGCAACACAAGAGGCAAATGACCAATTGTGTTAGTGCTGGCTTACCCAGCAGTTGTGAGGACCACAGGCATTACCGCTTTGAAGGGGTAGCTACCTTCCAGAACAGTGGCCTTCAGGGTTTTCTCTCAGTACAAAATGCCTTTGACAGGTGGTAAAGGGGCTGCTTCGAGACTGTTTCCTGCCAACGGAGGAGGCGAGGGGCCAGGCCTGCGTCACTGCCCAGTTCCAGCTGGTGGTGCAGGTCGGGGGTCAGAAGCTGGGCCACATCTTCCCTGTCATGATGTCTGCACTGTGCTGCCTCCAGGGCCTCCCTGAGGCACTCAGACCAGCAGGGGCCAGAAACAGTAGCTCGCAGGGCTCGGGAGCCTGGCACAGCCAGAGAGGTGCCCAGAGCTCCTGGCCCCACGCGCTGTGCTCTATGTCACCGTGTGGTCCCTAAGAGGTAGACTGCCCTGTGTGCTCTGTGCGCCTGGAAACGGCACTCCCCGTGACTCGCACTCCTGTGTCGGGGAGAGACCCCTGCCCTTGGCAGAGCTAGACCAGCTGAAGCAAGGCTGGCAGATTTGGGCAATTGTGGAAACCCCTGATTCACCCTCAAAAGTGCAGACCTCATTTAAAATACAGTTGCCACACGCATGTCCACAAGGCTCCAGGCACCTGCTAAAGACCTGGGTCAGTGTGTCTGACTCAAGCAATCCCCTCTCAGAGACACAGACTGCAGAAGCCAGTGTTGTGGCGCGAGGGTGAAGCCACCACTTGCTGCACAGGCATCTCATGCGGCTGTAGCTTCCCATCGCAACTGCTCTGCTTCTGGTCCAGCTCCCTGCTAATGGCTTGGGAAGCAACAGAGGACGGCCAGCTGTTGGGAGCCCCGTCTCCTTGTGGGTTCCTGTGTGGCGTTCCGGGCTCCTGGCTTCCACCTGAACCAGCCCCAGAGAGAGTGACCGAGCAGATGGAACATTTCTCTGCCTTTCTCTAACTCTGCTTTCTGATGCAGAGGCCTCGCTCTGTCTCGCGGCTCTGGGACTAGTGAGGGCCTGGCCAGCACACGTGGCAGACCACACCTGCTCAGCACGCTCAGCACCCAACACCAGAGCAATGGCAGCATGTCACGGAACTCACTTTCAGGGACTCTGGAGCTGCTGCACCTGCATCGCAAGTGTCTAGAGACGAATTTTCTAGCATTGTGCCCTGGGTTCTATGATTGTAAATTACAAGCTATTACAAGCTACGGGGCCTCTGGTCAATTGCTTGACCTCTGTATATTTCAAATTCCTCTTCTGAAACACTATCCACATACTAGAATTAACCTGAGGATGAGAATGTGTTTAACAATTCGGCACTGAGAGCAGTGCTCAGCACGGATGTCAGGCCAAGACAGCTGTCAACGTTACTGCACTCTCCACCTCAGGCGCACATCACAGCTGCCTCCCTGGCAGCAGCCCGGCGTGGCACACGGAGAAGCCAAACACGCCCATGCTGGGGCCAGAACCCGAAGGGGTCCTTGCAGCCTGGGGGCAATCTTTGCCAACTCCCTTCCTCCATGCCCAGCCTTCCAGAATCTTCCATATCTCCCAACCACAGAGGCCAACAGTGCAGGGTGACGAAGGTGAGACATGGAGACGGAGCCTGGACGCCCACAGCGGGAGCCAGGACGGGTCAAAGCAGACGGCAAAGAAAGGCAGGTCCCAAACCAGCCAGGGTCCACCTGTGCCTAAGACAACAGCATCACAGAGCAGGCAGAGGCCACACTAAACTCCTCTGAGGACAACAGCCATGGTGGAAGGCGGCCCTGACCTCACTCAGCTGGACTCGCACCTCGTCTGCCAAGAGCTCCCAGATACCCACCACATTGAAGACCTGGCGGAAGACATGGTAGACATGAGGTGCTCAGCAGGGTCCAGGGTGCCTGGCACCCACCACCTCAGAGGCCTGGCAGAGGGCACTGGGCACCCACCACCCCAGAGACCTGGCAAGCGTACGGCTCCATGCTCATCAGCACCTCACCTGGTCCTCCCTCGGCCGACCTGGGAACGGTAACCCTGTAAGGAAAGCCCCGCTCTCTTGACCCCCGTTCCACGCTCCAGCTCTGCCCCTTCCAGCTCTCTGAGCTTTTAGACATCCCTGAGGATGCTGTGCAGCAACTGTCTCCTGCCTGGCCCCAGCACTACAAGCAGAAACCCCGAGTCTGGCCCCACAGCAGAGGAGAACTCGAAGCTGGCCCCATGGCGGAGGAGGCAGCCCAAGCCAGCCCTACCCACAGACCTGCCGACCAGGACAAGAAGGGCAACTCCCCTGTCTGTGGGGAGGAACCTGCACAGAGCCACAATGGAGGAAGGACACAGAAGAGAGGGTCCTCATGTGGCAGGTGCTTCTGATGTTCTCCTGAAGGGAAACCCTGCTCAAGTTGAAAGGGACCGTCAGATGCTGAGGGATGAAAGCACGCGGCTTCTCTGCCACAGAGGGCGTGGGGAGCGCATGACGGAGCAGCTGGACAGCACACGCTCAGCACAGAGGGCGTGGGGAGCGCAAGACGGAGCAGCTGGACAGCACACGCACAGCACAGAGGGCGTGGGGAGCGCAAGACGGAGCAGCTGGACAGCACACGCTCAGCACAGAGGGCGTGGGGAGCGCAGGACGGAGCAGCTGGACAGCACACGCTCAGCACAGAGGGCCCCATCCAGGTGTTCTTGTTCTCACAGGATAAGACAATATGCTTACAAGAGTGCACACACACACACATGCTCACAAGGGCACGTGTGTGCTCACACACACAAATGCTCACAAGGGCACACACATGCACACACTCGTGCACACATACATATATTCACAAACGCACACACGTGTGCACACACATATACACAGAGATCTTTTTGCAAGAACTTCCTTTGCTATCATCTGTGCCACAAAACGGGTCCTCAGAACAGAATCTGACGTCTGAGGTGCGGGCCGTGCCACTCGCGGGACCACGGGCACTCAAGTGTCCGCGGACGGCCAGTCCGAGAGCAGAGTGGCAGCTCATCGGGCCCTTCCCCACCCCGGCCATCCCTCAGCAGTGGGGGAGTCCCTGCTGCCCACCCACGTGCCGCGTTAGCACTGTGAGCACAGGAGCCTGCAAGCTTTGAGGAAGGCACTCGGGGACAGGCGGCTGAAGGCGCCAGTTATTTATAGCAGATGGTCAGAGCAGACTGCGCCCGTGCTAAATATTTGGAGTCGATGCTAAATTAGTGTCAAACTGACTTCATTTAGAAAGATGGACGGTTGAATTATTTTCTAATTATGGGAATGCGAACGAAAGGCCAACAGCAGCACCAGGTTCAAGTGCACCCCCAGCTGTTTCTGCAAACAGACTCATTCATAAGGAGAGCTTGAAGCAAGCTGCAGGTGCACCACCAAGGCGAGCTCCTGATGAGGCCGAGGACACAGCACCTTGCCGTGTTACACACGCATCCACAAAACCCTCACTTCACCACCCTCCCACCTGGAAGACCGGTCTAATTGGAGGAATGGACCTTGCTACACACCCAGCGTCTTCCAACTTGACTGACCAAATCTAGATGTTTCCCAAGGACAAAGCTGCCTCGTCAGCCAGTGGACTATCGTGCAACAGTCAGGACCAACAATTGGGAGACTCAGCACAGCTGTGTGCGTAGCTTCCATGCAGGACTGGAAGCTGGTGGCCTCTCCAGGCAATGTTGGACTCCAACCCTGGACAAGGAAAACCCAAGCCACGACACAGAGACCACGGGGAAGCAGAGCTTCCCTTACTCAGAACTTTCCATTTCCGTCAGCCAAACGCTGCACAGGTGGCCGTGTCCACAGAGGACAGTGTGTGAAACTAATGAGCCTGGAGACCAAGCCCGAGGGTCTCAGACCAGCCAAAAACAGTTCTGATGCCCAAAGAGGGACCACGGAGGCACGGCTGAAGCCTGCTTCCACAGACTTGCCTGCGTCCCTGAGATGCTGTGACCGGTCCAGCCAACTCCGGCCCACCCTTCCCTCAGGAAAGCAAGCCCGAGGACTCAACCAAGTTCAGTCAGTAGGTCACTGGCTCTTCAGCTACCGCGGGAAAGTAGCTGTTCCCATGGCCAGACTCAGAGCTCACCACTTGGTAGAACTGCACAGCACTGCCCCGACACGTGCAGCCAGGCAGTGACACGGACACTGGACTGTGCACCACCGAAACCGCCTGTACCGGCTGTCAGCCACCGCCAGCAGGGCCAGCAGGGCCACCCATGCCGAAGGCACGTGGCACTCACCTCCATGGCTCGTCTCCGTGCACCCTTACGTAAGACACTCAACAAATGCTACTGTACACTCCTCACACATCGTGCTCTGAACATGAGGTTCTAATTCCAGGGAGAAGCGAAATGGTAACTTCGAGGTTGGTCTCACACTATACTTAGATCTTACACGTTCGGAATAGAATCCGAGTTGGCAAAACCGAGTCCTCTATCCTCCGTAACAACTGCGGTCTCAACTGTGAGTCGTCAACGGTCCAACTCAGAAGCGGCTGCTGTCGCCCAGCTCGCGTCCCAGCTCCGAGCACGGCCCTCCTGGAGCATGAGGTGCCACCTCAGCCCTCCCTAAGTCTGAAAACCTGATCAAAAGGAGATTTCCCCAGCAAATGGGCAGCCAGTGAGGATCCAACTGCTCTCTGCACTTTAGCAAACACACAGCAGCAGACTTGGCAGCCATCTGCAGACGAGCCCTGCTGTGGGGGTGGACAGCTCTTCTGTGTGGCGGCATCGGCCATGGGCCCCCCAGACGTGCGCGGGCTCACTCACCTCAGCGTGAAGACACCCTGGGTGGTGTTCCTGGAGACAGACACAGGGAACGTGAGCACGTCGCCCTGCCTGACGCTCCTGGGCACGTAATGAATGGCCACGTTGCTGTCCAGGCGCAGCTCCCGCAGGGAGGGCCGGCTGGGCGTCTGGTAGAGAAAGACGCTCCCGATCCTGTGTGGGGGCGGCCCGGACTCCTCCACCTCGCCTGGGCCTGACCGCAGCCCGCTGTTTTTCCGCAGCTCCTGCCCGGTGCAGCCGCCTGACCCATCCGCGGGTTCCACGGTGTAGTAGAGCTCCACAGGACTGCCTTCGGCAGGGTCCACGGGCCGCCTCCTGCCTGCCACCACGCTGGGGGGCCCAAACCAGTCTGCTGGCAGCTCCAACCGCGCCACGCACAGCCCCAGCGGCCCCGATAGCCGGCAGCCGCCCCGCACCTCGCGGGTCTCTCGGAAGGCCCAGAGCCGCAGGCAAGGCAGCCATTCCCCCACGTGGGGCTCGCCCCAGGCCCGGCCCGCCACGTGGAACAGGACCTGGAGCCGGGGCTGACTTGGGAAAACGCGATCGTGCAGGACGTATGTATTGAGCTTCCAGTTCAGGGAGAAGGTGTCGGTGAGGCCAAAGGGGCTGGAGGGCAGCAGCAGGTCCTGGGGCACCGTGCGCTGCACGGAGAAGGGCCCGTAGCTGGCCGTGAGCACTGGTAGCCTCTGGGACTTGTAGATGAGGAAGGACTCCACGCGGGACTGCAGGCTGGAGTTGCGCATGAGGTCCTGGTTGGCCTCCTTCAGGAAGAAGGAGATGTTGGCGCTGTCCACACGGTAGGTCACAGGCAGGTAGGTGGGCAGCAGTGAGAACCTCTGGATGCTCTCCAGGAGGCCCCGGCTCTGGGTCACTGTCGGGAGGGAATCGGAGCTCAGGTTAGTGCCCACAGCCCAGCCCCAGTGTGAGCAGCAGGGGTACACGTGGTGTTGGTGAGTGAACCAGCTGCCTGGCCCACCGGGCCCTGCCCCTCGGGGCCCACCAGACATGCACTCCTTGCACAAACCCAGATGACAGAGCTGTAACAAGAAGCCCTGTCCCTAAGTCTCCACGGTTCAACCTCCTTGAAGCTACGGATCTGTTTTCTCTGTACACGCGACACTTCCTCTGAGGGACAAGGTGGCTGTGGATTCTCCCCCTGGGTGACCCACACCCTGCCCTGTGGGCCCAACCATCTGCCGCCACCCCTGCACCCACATCCACTGCCTCACCCTGAGTTCTGTTTCCCACCACATCCTGCCATTGTCCCCACACCCCTAATCACAGAAGCTGGGCTCCACTCCAACGCCCACACAACCCAGTAGGCTCCAGACCAGCCAGGGGTGCAGGCCTGGGGCAGAGCAGCCAGGGGTGCAGGCCTGGGGCAGAGCAGCCAGGGGTGCAGGCCTGGGGCAGAGCAGCCAGGGGTGCAGGCCTGGGACAGACCAGCCAGGGGTGCAGGCCTGGGGCAGAGCAGCCAGGGGTGCAGGCCTGGGACAGACCAGCCAGGGGTGCAGGCCTGGGGCAGAGCAGCCAGGGGTGCAGGCCTGGGGCAGAGCAGCCAGGGGTGCAGGCCTGGGGCAGAGCAGCCAGGGGTGCAGGCCTGGGACAGACCAGCCAGGGGTGCAGGCCTGGGGCAGACCAGCCAGGGGTGCAGGCCTGGGCAGAGCAGCCAGGGGTGCAGGCCTGGAGCTGGCTGCTCTCTAGCTTTCTACTCCCAAGACCAGAGACTCAATAACTGTTAAACTGACAAAGGCAGGAGCGAGTCAACACACAGATGGGGTATGTGCAGAATGAAGAGTGGCTCTGCTGCAAGCCATTTCCTTGGCTCCCCTCTCCCCACCGCCCCTGAGGACAGTGTCCTCTGTCCACCAAAGGCTGCATGGCCTCTGTCGGCCCGGAGGGGCCTCAGAGCAAGGCTGGCTATGCTGTGTCCGGGGGAGTAAGACCTGTCTCATTATCACCCTGACACCAACTTGTCAATCATTGCAGAAGTGGCCAGTGCCACAGAGCCGGATGATGGGCAGTTGAATGTGAGCAGCATCCCAAGGCCCCGGATGTCCCTGCTGAACTCAAGTCCCCCTGCTCGAGAACGCACACTTAACTGTGCAGCAAATGGAGATCCTCGGCTCACAGCCTGGTGCCGGCTTCACTCGGGGAATCCTTGCAAGGGCATCCCAAAGTCACCCACACCATGAGCTGCAGCCCAGAGGTTTCCTAGCCCTACTTCACAGGCCGTCCCTCTTGCTGCTTGGTATTTGGCTCAGATGTCCACTGCTCTAGAATGCCCCGCACCGTGTAGGCACAGAGCCAGGGCCTACCTAACCTCTGATGGAGTGCCCAGGGCCAGTCCTGGCTGCTCTGCTTCTGCTGAAGTCTCTCTGCCGCTGCTGGGGCACATCCTGGGAGACAGTGGGGATGGTCAAAGGCCGCCCACATGGGCATCAGGCGAGCAGACACAGAGCACAGGATCTCTCTCTCTATTTTATATATATATCTGCTTCTCACACAAAATTCACTGAAATCAAAATGCTCCACACGCTGAGCAGAAGCCAAGGCTACTTCTTTTACTCGTGAAGAAACTGCAACCAACGCAGCCACGTTCCATGCCACAGACAATGAAGGCAACGTCGCCCCTTGGCCCCACCGAGCTCCGCTGCGACCCCAGGACCCCACTTCACTCCACACTCGGAGGAGCTGAGTGTCACAGAAAGCACGCACTCCCCAGTTCACAGCCACTTGGAAAACCGTATTTGCTCTGCTGCCTTGGAAGCAAGCTCTCATTTGAAAAGACACGGCAACTCATTGGCCTTGGGGAGGTTTTCAATGATTGTTAACGTTTTCTAAAATACTTTCTCAGTAATATTTTAATAGGAGAAAGACAGCAGTGGATACACAGGACTCTGACCCTGTGTGACCCAAAAGCACGACTGAAAGAACACCAAAGCAGATTAAAATGGATTCTGCATCCTGCTGATCGCAGGCCATGCAATGAAAGGACCCGGCCTCAGCTGGGGTGCAGGACGGAGCGCCCGACAGCCCAGGCCCAGTGAGCAGACACACACCACGGGCAGCCTCACAGCACAGCGGTCGATACAGGAGAGGTTTCCCTGAAGCTCCGATGCAACCTGGCCCCACTCACCACCTGCAAACCCAGCATCCCTCAGTGTGAGTCACAGAAAACAAACCGGAGGTAGCCGGGCGGTGCCACCCAGGTACCTGCAAGCAAAACCATGAAGACACATGCCCCTTGCCCAAGTCACCTGGCCAGCTCTCTCACCCCGGAATCCACACCCCACACAGACAAACTGGAGGAAGTTTCCTTCTCTGAGTTCTTGGAGGACAGACTCTACTGTTTAGGATCTTACTGCCCCATTGGTTGAGCATTTGGGCTTGCTGTGTCTGCGTGCTGCTTCGTATGCACCTGTCAGAGGAACTGGCATTTGGCTACACAGATCAGCTCGTACAGGCCATGAGCGATGAGATTGAGCATGTTTTAAGTGAGGATCCCAGAGTGACAAGCAAACATGTGGCTTTCCTGGGAGTCAGCTCCAGGCAGGGGCAGGGCAGGGCAGGACAGGGCAGGGCAGGGCATGGTAGCACAGGGCAGGGCAGGGCACGGTAGCACAGGGCAGGGCAGGACAGGGCATGGTCAGGGCATGGGCAGGACAGAGCAGGGCAGGGCAGGACAGGGCATGGCATGGCACGGCAGGGCAGGGCACGGTAGCACAGGGCAGGGCAGAGCAGGGCAGGGCACGGTAGCACAGGGCAGGGCACAGTAGCACAGGGCAGGGCATGGGCAGGACAGGGCAGAGCAGGGCATGGGCAGGGGCAGAGCAGGGCAGGGGCAGGGCAGGGCAGGGCAGGGCAGAGCAGGGCATGGGCAGGACAGGACAGGGCAGGGGCAGGGCACAGTAGCACAGGGCAGGGCAGGGCAGGGCACGGTAGCACAGGGCAGGGCAGGGCACTGCAAAGCTGGGCAGGGCAGGGCATGGGCAGGGCATGGTAGCACAGGGCAGGGCAGGGCATGGTAGCACAGGGCAGGGCAAGCTGCTCACACCTCGTGATGTTGGAGAGGATCATTGAAAAGTGGCCCTGTGTTTGCCGGGGGAGCTCATTGCTCTGACAGTACACTAGAACAGGTCTGCAGCGCCCTTGCCTCTGCTGGGTCCCGTGTCCTTGCCCCCAGACCCAGAGCCCGCAGTCACCTGCAGCCAGTGTCGATGGATTGCTCCTGCCTGTCGCTAGACCTTCAGGCCTACAGGCACATCTGAGTGTCTCGGGCTCTGATCGAGAATTGCATTTCTTCCAAGGTCAAGGAGAGGTGTCTGGCTGATCACACCTTCAAGGTGTTACATTCTCCCGCGAGTCACTGGGAATTACTTGCCGATTTTCACACCAATTTCGGGAGCATACAATTTAACGTGGATGGGATCACAAGAGCGAGCTGGGCCTTATGTGGCTCATCGAGGGTCCCGTTGCTTCGTGGTCAATGACAGAGACCTCTGGGCTTGAATCTGGCCTCTCTCACCTGCACCTGTGTGCCCTTGGCTCACTGCGGGCTGTGTTGGGATCAAGTTCACTCAATTTGACAGGCTGTGCAGAGCAGTATCTGAATAAACTGTGAATGTGGGATCCCTGGATGGTAGAAGTAAACTCCCTGAGATCCGACACAAGCATCGCTGGCTACATTCACAAGGAGAGAAGGAGAGTCATGTGGAGCCGCCCTCGGGCCTGCGGTGGGGCACAGCAGCTGTAGGACGCCAGCCTCTGGAGCAGGCTCCCGTTGTGCTGCTGGAGGGGCATGGTGGAGAGGACGGAGAGCTGCGCAGAGGGAGAAGAGGTGCAACGTGGGAGCGGCCGGGGCCTGTGGCCGGGCCCAGAAGGCAGCGTCCATGCGGGAGGGGCTCAGGCTGTGTAGAAGGCATAGTTCTTACCTGGGAGTCTGTGGAGAGCTAAAGGCCTCCAAGTAAGTTAACACATATAGTGGTAGGAAGAGCGACAGCGGGTTTGTGGGCAGAGCCAGCTGCAGTGTGCCCCTCTGGATGCAGGCACTATGCCACATAGTTCTCAGGTCTGTGCCACCCAGCTCTGCACCCCCAGTGCAGTGTGCCCCTCTGAACGGTGTGTCACAGTCTCTCCCAGGGCCTTACTCATGGGGTGACCTCGACAAGCTGCACAGCTCTGTGACCTCATTTCCCTGTCTGAAAAGGAAGGGAATAGCACCACTCCTCGCTGACCCTGACCCCCTCATCCTCCTGGGCCACTCCAAGACCACTCCTCGCTGACCCCCCCCATTCCTCCTGGGCCCCTCCAAGGGCCGCCTCCCTATGATCTCACGGGTCCAGCTAAACAGCAAGCTGTACTCCTCAGTCTCCTGTCACGTCCAGCTTTCAGGGGCACACCCACCCATCAGAGGACAGACCACAGAGGGTTAATCCAGATATGCATCCCAACAAAAATTGAATGCACGCAAAAGGATGCTGAGGTACCTTTTCTCATGGTGCCCAGAAATGCCATTGTTGCTGTGACTTAAAACAAGAACCTAGCGTCGTGCCCAGAACAGGACTCTGCTCATTTCTGGCAGGTCCCTAGGACCAGCAGGGCCTACTTGTGAGGGGTATGGTCAGCCAGCACATATTGCTGGTGCTCAGACAAGTGCTTGTCTAGCCTGTTCTCGCCCAGGAGGCCAGCTGACCTCTGAGAATCCAGGCCCCGCATGGTCCAGGGGAGAAGCAGCTGTATCCAGGCTATGTCCTGTCTGGATCGCACCCAGGACAGAGTCCAAGTGGGAACACGGAGGGTCTCTCCCAAGAGAACACCCATCAGGAAACACCAGTCCACTCCGGGGCCTGCCTCTCCAGCAAGGCCCTC